TTTGGAAGCTTGACGACCCGTTTTTTTATCAAACGTCCACGAAATTTAGTTTTTCCGATGGCCTGGACCTTGCAATTGATCTATTTTGGGTTATATTAATTGAATTACATCTTTTCTAATAACTTTGAGACCAAATTTCACCATTTTTTGATTCTTCGAAGCCCTAGTATAAAGTTGAAAAATTTATGGTTTTTGGGAAAAGGCAAAATCAGATTTTGACGCCTTTGTTCATTTAAGGTCATAACTTGGCGATTTTTGATCAAAATTAATTCTTTTTTTCAGAAGATGTGCTTGAGAAGTGTACCTTTATTTCAACGGTTAAATGGTGCCTGTAAGTCTAGTCTAACTGACGCAATTCAATTCTAAAAAACGTTTCTGGGTTTTTACCGGTCATACCTTAACTAACTCGATTCATTCATTAGTCTACAATTCATAAGTTTTATAATCAACATTACATTGTATCATTTGTAGTGACATTATTACTTGTTAGGAACTAATAAACATCTCGAAACGGCTCGAACATGTCTAAACAATGAACCACAACGAAGTTCCCATGTTGTTCTAATTAATAAATCATCGAGATAACGATTTTTAAGTGCAGCAAGTAGAAATGAAATTCTTGGACAGGTTATAACCAACTTTATTCATTAATAAGTCTACAATTTATATTATAATTATCATTACATATCATCTTAAACATTGTATCATTGTAGTGACTTTATTTTTCGTTAGGCAATATCAGGAACTGTTGAACACATTATTTGAATTCATTAATTAACAACTAATAATTAAATTCCTTATTAATTAACTATCATGATCACTTCAAGGAGTATCGTTACATTGACTTGAAAATCATTGAACCAATGATTACATTGTAAGTAAAAGTGAAATTACCAAAATAACATCCAATGAACGAGAGAAAGGACATTAGACTTGGAACGATTAATGGTAGCTAAGGACTTATGTAATATCAACTGGAAAGATAACTCCTCTTGAATTTTAGGTGAATCGATACAATTGATTCCACCATCCTCAGTAATCATATCAACAGGTTTATTCCCAAATTCATCAACAATACTTTTCAAAAATGCCACATCTAACAAGTTGCCTGGATAATCATCACCAAAAATCGATTATCATAAAGTTTCACATTTTTTATGAATCTATCATCCCCATGATTGGATCATTTTGCTCGTAATATGCATTCAGTGTTGAAAGAACCCAGTTAAATTTGATCCCAGGATGTTTGCCTTGAATGTAATAAATGACTGCATGTAGAAATGAGCCTAGAGCTTAACACAGAAACAGTAGATTCACTTGGTCCATAGCTTTTCAAGATTCACTGGCTAGATCCAACACTGTTAAAGACATCATGATCTCTGTTCACAGCCATCATACTCGAGTATATAGTGCATTCTGAATGTAATCACAAATTTCTTTGAGCGCAAATGATAATAAATCATTTAGTCTACATTCATGAATGGTATATTTATCGATGGAGGAGATTGAATCTTTAGCCCCTTAAAGAGTTCAGGAGCAATGTAACATCGCTATTTGATTGGAGGCCTAGTCATGAAATCTTCATTTTCATTATCACATAGAAAAGTTTATGAGCAAATGAACCACAGCCAAATTCTCATGGCATTCTGGTTGTCAAGAAATCATTGAGTTTTCCAATGTATCTGAATTTTCAGATGCAAAGTGAATCCTCTGTCGTTATAATAGCCATGGATCGCAACGGAGCTAACACAACAAAACTAAAGATTAACTACAAGTTTAAACAAAGTTTTTTGCTCTCATATTTTTGAATTCTGAACTTAACAATAGAAAAAATTTAATAATCGCTGTAATTTACTGATCAAATTTTATAAGCCACTTAAAATTTTATCATGAATTCTGCAAGCCCAAATAGATTTGCACCCTTTTATGTTACGACATTAATAACAATTCATAAGTAACAACAAGAAACTATACTAATTATTTTCAGTTTCCTTTTCAGATAAACGGATCGAACCGAAGCTATGAAATCCAAACAAAACATACAAAAAAAGAGAAATGATGAGAGAAAACGTCGTGCAATTCAAACGCAGTTAATTGATGAAATTGGATCTCTAGTGCCATTCATCAGTCGAAGTGATGCAAAATTATCCAAAAATGAAAGTTTAAAATTAGCCACTGGTTACATCAAATTTATGCATGGTAAGTCCAGGTAAAAATGATTTATATATCATTCAGCTATACACCTTAAAGATATGTTTTTATAGCTTTCAGGGATTTGGATGTTACGCCATTCATTTCTGATTTAAATCACAGATTATCTCAGGTATTTTTGTTTCATTAACAAAGTATTTTAATGCATCAAATTAAATTTAATCAACGTTTGAAATAATGATAATTGTCTTATTTTTTATAGTCAACAGATGATAGAAGTTATGTTATATGTGATGGAGCATTGACTGTCATATTTTCTAGTGAAGATGCACTTAAAGAACTAGGCTATAAAGAATATGATATCTATGGATGCAAACTTACATCTTTGATTCATGAAGAAGATATTAAAGAAGTTATGAATGCGACCAGTAACTACAAAGATGCTATTATAAAACCAACAGAACTTGACAAACAGGACTTTTGCATAAATTTTAGAGTGTATGAAAAGAAGAATATAAGGAATCAATTCAGAAAATTTCAGTTGGTTCGATTTGAAGGTAAAATTGAATTTTTCAAACAACTATTAGCTAGAAAAGGAGGAATAAAGAATGCAAAAAATGATGACCCGATAAACTATGATCCAGCAATTTTGATTCGAGGTTCAATAGATGTTATAAAAGGTTCTAGTCTATCCTCGCAAACAAACTATAGGTTCACTAACAAAAACCAATATCATCTTTTAATGAGACTTGATGGAACTATCTTGTATGCTGATCATCGGTAAGTTAAATGTTATTGAGCAGCGAACATTCTTTGAAGTAAATAGACTATTAACATTATTTTTTGAATTTTAAAGAATTGTCAATGTCATTGGATTTCAACCATTAGATGTTATTGGAAAATCAGCATACAGCTATATCTGTCCTGACGATCAAGCAATGTCACTTTATTTACACACAAAAAGTAAATAGAACATACAAAAAATTAGGAATATTTAAACTAATCTTATTTTTTTATTTTCTTGCAGCACTAAGAAGCAATGATGGTGTGGGTGAAGTGGTGCACAGACTACGAGCCATTAACAACACTTATGTCTACATAAACTCTGCTGGTAAATTAGAATATGATGATACAACTATACTTTTTCATGTCCTGGCCACAGCTTTAAGGTTTGTATTTTATTCCGCTTCAAAAAGTTTGTTAATATGTTTAATAACCTTTATTTTCTCGCAGTGAAGAGCAAGGCGAAAAAATTCGACGTGAAACCGTAAAATTACTTACTCCTTATTGTGGTAACAAGACGACTGCAGAGTTCAAATATCGAGTGGATGAAATTGCTAACAGTAAATTAGCTGCACTGAAAAAAGATGAAAATCATGGTGCAGGTCATCCCAGTCAGATTAAAAACTGCGTTGATTTCAAGCGTACAGATGAAGCACCGTTCCCGAATATTTCTCCCTTTCCAAGTTCACCGACTATATGTGGTATTAATTCCTCTGGTCAAAACGTTGTGGGTCAATATGTCGAAAATGAGTTTATCCATATCTCCGCATCACCATTGACTTATCAAACATCTCTTCCTGAGCAATTATATTTCACTTCTCAACATGATTCTTCGATTTTTTCGTCGCCACATTCTTTACCATTAGCATCAACTCAAGAACTGATGCAATCTCAATTATGTTCTTCTCTTTCTACACCAGAATCGATGCCATCAACATCTTCATCGTCAAATCGTTTCAATCCAGAAATCATGGGTCTATCTAATGAAGCTCGATTTGAAGCGAGAAGCATGGCGACTAATGAAATATTTTTTGCAGATCAACATGGAACTGGTTCATTCGAAGAAACATTTGCTGAACAAAATACTATATCACCCAACTCTGGACCCAATTATAATTTTCAAATTGCAGACATTAACAATTAGCTTTACATAGATCAAGAAGCCTAAAAAACAATGTTGATTACTTCAAATCAAATTCTTGATTCTAAATTAGCCAAATTTTCTCAGTGTATGAATGAAACAAAAACTGATAAAAACTATAACCCGTCCAGAGGCAGTTAATGGCAGCAAAAAATGATGTAATGTCAATTGAAAAATTAAAGCTTCACACATTTCAGATACCATAATAAAATTGATTGTAACCAAATCAACAGGGTTCGTTATTTATCACAAATACTTTGAATTTCAGTTACACCAACCCTCAATTATCATAACCAACTGCTTTCTTGTTGTAGTCAACTTGCGGTTAGGGAGCTAATGCTAAAACGACCATTGATTCACCTTCCGTCTTATTCACTGAAATGCGCTGATGGTAGACATCCAGGGAAAATGAATAATTGTCAATCCTGTAACACGAATATAACGATATTTAGGAGGCAGCAAGCAGAAATTAAATTCTTGTAAAGTTTATAACCAACTTGATTCATCATTTGTCTACAATTCATAAGTTTTATAATTATCATTATCACCTCAAACATTGCATCATTGTAGTGACGTTATTTCTTGTTAGGAAATCTTATTCTAACACATTAAACATTAATTAGAAATGGCTATGAGAGTTCAAGGTTTAGATTGCATCAATCTCAAGTATTAAAAAATGAAGGCAGAGAAAGAAATGATAGAAATATAATCAAAATTAAATCTAAAGAAGTGGCTAAATATGAGTTTAGTTTTAACTAGCATGATCAGTGATCACTTTAAGGAGTATCGTTAAATTGACTTGAAAATCATTGAACCAAGGATTACATTGTAAGTAAAAGTGAAATTACCAAAATAAACAACCAATGAACGAGGCAACAGATACTTCAAGAACTGCGTCCAACTAATGATAATAATGTAAGTTAATCCATATTTATCCATTTTTTTAAATATCTGATTCCTTTGTTGTTTCTAAAATTAATATTTTCTTTCTATTTAGAGTTGTTTTGAATGTGGTGCTCTCAATCCACAATGGGTCAGCGTCACATATGGAATATGGATCTGTTTAGATTGCTCAGGGAAACACCGGGGACTCGGAGTTCATTTGAGGTAAAGTCTACCATATGATTTAGCCTATTAAGGGTATAGCTAAACAAACCATGGATAACCTTGAGTAAATGAATTGTTTTCCTTGTTTCGCAGTTTTGTTCGTTCAATCACTATGGACAAATGGAAGGATATTGAATTGGCTAAGATGAAAGCTGGTGGTAAGGTATGTGTGAAACAAAACTTGAAAATTACCAATTAGTCTTACAAATTTATGTCTTTTCATTAGATCGCCACAGAAGCTGCTGTAAAAGTTGGTCCATTGAATCTTCAACAGCAAAAGACTATGTTTCGCGAGTCATTCCTAGTTTCTCGTCAAGTTCGGCTTCCAATGCATCTAAAAATAGCGGAAAACAGTCATCTTGGGATGAAGACGAATGGGCTGCAAGTAGCTACCAAAGGTACTGACCACCACTAATAAAATCTTTCCAAATTTTCATCTGATTATCTACCAGCACAAGCTGCTTGACAATTTCATTTGGATATTCGCTACTTAATTTTATCTTCTATCAACTCATCTATTTTATTCTAAAATTGTATCGATTTTTTATTATGTTCAACATCCGTAGTTATAATCATGAGAATCTATCTCGTCAGAAAGAACAATTTTTTGCAAAAAAGCAACAAGAAAATGCTTCTAGACCTGATTATGAAAAATATTTCCATTTTTCTAATATTTGAATCATCTTCTTGTCTTCACTATCCTCAATCGCAAATACAGCCACCAAAGTAGCTTCAAAGGCGTCTGAAAACGTAAGCATTTTTTATGCATTGGTTGATTCAAAAATAATTATCAATCTTTTTTTAATTAGGCTTTGAAAATTGGTTCGATTGCTTCACAAAAAGCTGCTGATATTGCTGGAACTCTAACAGGAAAAGCTAAACTCATTTATGAGTTTTATTTATTAATAAGTTTGAACCTCCTTTATTCATTATTTTTTTTCATTTGTTTTTTCCTGGCTTGTTTTTTGTTTAAAATCCTGACTTATTTAAAGGTGAAAGAAGGTTCTTTAGTTGACTCATTACAGAATCAAGCAACAACGATTGGCTCTAAGGTTGTTAATTATATTTTTACGAAGTTTTTCATTAGATAATAATAACTTTTTTAATCTTTTCAGGTAGTTGATGTTTCCAAAAGAGGATGGACAGATTTATCAACTCTTTTCAACCAGAAAGCATCTCTCTACAATACAGTACCTGATTTGTACAATCAGGTTCTCTATTATCATTCGAATATGCATAACTGCTTTAAAGCCACTGTGCCTTGCCCGTAATAATGATTTAGTTATAAATCAATCAATTTGATACCGGGTGGTTGCTTTGAATGTAAGTTCGCTTGGTTGCTTGATTTGCAATGAATTTTTTCGGAATAACTTCGTATAATTGTGTGATTTTAGAGACTTCTTTCCTTTTTGTACACATTCTTTAATTATTTTGTCAATTAAAGTTCTCTTTCATGTATTAGCTCAACACACAATATAAAGAACTGAAATTCTAGATTTTTTAGTGACCGATTTGAAGAACGAGACCTAAGAAAACAGATTAGTCATTAGATAGGTGAGTGAGTGTGTATGCGATTAGAATAAATTAAACATTTTGACAACTAAACTACCACCAGCCTCGAGGAAATTAATAGTAGCTAAAAACTGGTGTAATATCACTAGGAAAGATAACTATTGAATGCATATGCATCCATGAAATGCTTCCACAATCTTTAGTAACAAATCACAAGTAGTTTCACATTTTTGATGAATCTATCACCAATTGCTGTTTTGATTGTATTAACTTCTCGAGATATGGATTTAGTGTTGAAGCAACCCAATTAAATTTTCAGAACAGTTTGTTTGAATGTAATAATTGAATGCATCTACAAATGACTTGCACACAGTAACAGTAAATTCACTTCATTGAGATCTTTTTTAAAATCACTTTCTGAATTCACCACTGAGAAAGACATAATAATCTCTACTAACTTGCACCATGTTCGAGTTAATAGTTCATTCTGATTGATTTCAACATACCCGGTAACTAATAGATCAACAGGTTTATTCCTAAATTATCAACAATACTTTGCGAAAATTCCACATATAACAAGTCACCTCGATTATCATCACCAAAAAACCAATTATCATAAAGTTTCCCATGCTTGATGAATCTATCAACGCCAATTGTTTTCTTGATTGCATCAACTTGCCCGTGATATGGATTTAGTTATGAGTCAATATGCTCGTAATATGCATTCAGTGTTGAAAGAATCTATTAAATTTTCAGAACAGTTTGTTTGCTTTGAATGTAATAATTGACTTCATGTACAAATGAGCCTGGGGCTTAAAACAGAGACAGCGCTATATACGAAACGCGAAAAAAACTTCACTTCGTTAGGAGCTTTTCAAGATTCACTGGCTAGATCCAACACTGTTTAAGACATCATAATATCAGTTCACTTCCACCATACTCGAGTTAATATTTCATTCTGAATGTGTTCACCCAAATACATCCAAAAAGCTGTTCCTGGTATAATGGAAAACGTGCCATCTGCTAGAGATTATAAGCCTGGCTTCAAAGTTGAACTAATTGCTAAGGATTTAGGTATTTCTCAGTCTTGTGCTAGTTTAACTGATGCCCCTACTCCTATGGGAGCTTTGGCTCTATCGATTTACAAAGCTATGACCAACAATGGTCATGGAGAGAGAGATTTTTCCTATGCTTACCAATTCCTATTGAAAAAAGTTGCTGGTGGAGTTAGGAAAAGTTAGAGAAACCCTTGCTTTAGCTCAGGACCTTTGGTTTAGATAGTTTCTGAAATTAATATTTTCTTTCTATTTAGAGTTGTTTTGAATGTGGTGCTCTCAATCCATAATGGGTCAGGTTCACATATGGAATATGGATCTGTTTAGATTGTTCAGGGAAACACCTAGCTAAACAAACCGTGGATAACCTTGAGTAAATAATTTGATTTGTAATCTGATTAACTATCAGCAGAAGCTGCTTGACAATTTCATTTGGATATTCGCAACTTAAATTGAATAACTATCAACTCATTTATTTATTCTAAAATTGTATCGATTCTTTATTATGTTCGACAGCCGTAGTTATAATCGTGAGAATGTATCTCGTCAGAAGGAACAATTTTTTGCAAAAAAGCAACAAGAATGCTTCTAGACTTTAGTAAGTATAGTGTGACCTCTATTAACAATGACACTAATATCAGCAATTGAAATGTGATTATAGAAATGAAGGTGTTGGAAGGAAGGAATCATCGTGCCTCTTATCAACTTCTAAGTCTACATACAATGTCCAACAACTAAGAAGTAGCAGTAACAATCAATCAACCACCAATTCAACGGCTTCTGAGACAATTAATATCAGCAAGGAAGAGAAAGTATTGATCAACTTTGGCTCAGGTAGTTCAAATAAGAAAAAATTCCAAGAAAACAGAAGATTATTCCAGAGTGCTATTGAAGTATTGAAGATAAACCTAGAAAAAGTCAAGGATAAAATCTCAATCATTCTATTGTGGTTCTATTTAGTTTATACTAGCCATACTATGTATGCGAATATTAAAACTATTCACCATAAAGTAATTCGTAAGTATTGGTTCAGTTTTTGTTAGATTTATTTCAAATTAATTGTTTCGAATTTCAAAATTTCAGAAAAACAAACAAATTGCGAATGTATTTAGGGTTATATAACATTTAGTAAATCAAATTTGCTTTTCACAAGTTTATTTTTTATCATAGATTGTTCATGTTTTGTTGCATACCGGTAATTACCGGATTCCATGATTGTATTTTGTAATTAAATTACTCACAGTAATTTGCGAGTAAATTTTTTTATTGAAATTTAATGGCCACTCACTTAAATTAAGTGAGTATTTTTGATTATGAAATTTACTGGAAGAATTTGCTGTTTTGATTCAATCTTGAAGCTATCATAAATCAAGACAGTTAAGTTAGTCAACTTCTTAGTGCAAATCAAACAAATTTATTTCAACGAACTTTTTGTGCCTTTTCATCAAAAACTCAATCTTGTTTCTAATAGCGTTCGTCAATTATAGTATAAACAGTAGTTCCAAGTACCACAAAAAATTCAGTAAACAGTTGATTCCCTTTTAGGGTAAGTAATGTATGTTCTTCCGTCCTATTTTTTCCTGAATTTTGCTGTCTTTCTATGTCATTCAATTGAGATAATCAGCTCTGTTGAAATACCTCAGTAACTCATGTTCTTGTAGAATAACTGTTTCATATTTTGAGTATTTTCATTTAAAATTTTGCAAATTACTACTATATGGAGAAATGTTATTTGGAGCTTGAAATCACATTTAAGTAATTTCATATAGCTTGATATAAACCTATTCATAAACTTCAGAATTACAAGGTTTACTTGTGACCGGTTCGAAGAATTAAACCTCGGAAAACAGATTAGTTATTAGATAGGTGAGTGTCAGTGTTTATGATGGAAAAAAATTTTGGTGCTAAAGCTGCCACCATTCTTGAGACAGTAAATCGCATCTAAAAACTGCTTTAAAATAAACGTGAAAGATTCCTCTTGAATTTCGGCTGCATCGATACAATTGATTCCAATATTTCCAGTAACCATTTAAATTTGCTCGCAAATCATTGAACCAAGGATTACGTTGTAAGTGAATTTAAATTACCAAAACAAACAAGCAATGAACGGGAGAAAGGACATTTTGACAATGAAAAGAAAATTAGATTTGAAACAATTAATACTAGCTAAGGACTGATGTAATATCAACTGGAAAGATAACTCCTCTTGAATTTCAGGTGAATCGACACAATTGATTCCACTGTCTTCAGTAATCATATCAACAGGTTTATTCATACTAACTTTAAGTCTTTGCCAAAATGCCACAATTCCACGCCTCGATTATCATCACCAAAAATCCAGTTATCATGAAGTACCACATGTTTGATGAATCTAATGCTATTTTGATTAGATCAACTTGCTCGTAATATGGATTTAGTGTTGAAGCAATCCAGTTAAATTTGATACCAAGATGTTTGCTTTGAATGTAATAATTGACTTCATTGACAAATGAGCCGGGAGCTTCACACCAAAACAGTGAATTCACTTTATTGAGATCTTTTTTAGATTCACTTTCTAAATCCAACACTGGAAAAGACGTAATAATCTCTGTTAATTTGCACCATACTCGAGTTAATAGTGCATTCTAAATCTTATAACGAATTTCTTTGAGCACAAAAGATGTTAAATCAGTTCGATTGGTATGTTTATTCCAGGAGATTAAATCCTTATCATCTAAAAGAGTTCGAGTGCAATCTAGATCATGTCTAAACAATGAACCACAACGAAATTCCCATGGCGGCCAAGTCAAGAAATCATCGAGATTCTCCAATGTATCCAAATTTTTAAGATTGAAAGTGAATCTTTTATCAAAAAGTTGATCGATGTTAGTCGCGTAATCCATATCATGAAGTGAAATGAGACTGCTAACATCAATAGTCACAAAACTGAAAGAAAATAAAAAAAGTTAAAGTATGAATGTATAATGTCATAAGACTTTAAGTTTATAATCTTGTTCATTAGATTAAATACATACTCACGTTAATTAAACTCTGCCAAGTTATCAATCCGAGTTGCCAAGTTATCAAGTTCATTCTGAATAATATCACGAATTTTGCAAGCACAAATGTTAAATCAGTTATATTGGTCTGTACATTCTAGAAGATTTACTCTCTATTATCTAAAAGAGTTCACAGGCACTGGAAACCATGTCAAAACAATGAACCACAACCAAATTCTCATGGTGGTTCAGTCAAGAAATCATCGAGATAATGATTTTCAAGTGCAGGAAGCAATTTAATTCTTGTAGAGGTTATACTAACTCGCTACATTCATTAGTCTACAATTCATTTAGTTTTATAATTTACATTACATTTTATCATTGAAGTGACGTTATTTCTTTTTAGGAAATCTTAGGAACTATTAAACACATTAATTGAATTCATTTATTAATAATTGATAATTAATTCATCATTAATTGATCATCACTTTACTTTAATCACTTTAAGGAGTATCGTTAAATTGACTTGCAAATCATTGAACCAAGGATCACATTGAAAGTAAAAGTGAAATCACCAAAATAAACATCCGATGAACCAGGCGAAGACAACTTTGTTCAATGTTTCTCGTCTAAATTTCATCCAACACTTATTTCATGTGCCTTATAATTTGACTTTTTTTATTGATCTCGATTCAAATTGCAATCTTTAGTTCAAAAATGTCTAGCACATGTTGGATAGATAGGACTAGGTTTCGTGAGCACTCCTATAAATAAACAGAACTAAAAATGTGATCGAGTGTTCACAATGGTTCCTGCTGATCCTTATGTGATCGAAGTTTTCTCAGGATCAAATGGATTACTCACTAAAGCTAAGAAAGGAACCATCTTGATGGACTGTTCAACTGTTCACCCAAATACATCCAAAAAGCTACTACAATTGAGCAATGATGCTGGAGTTGATTTCTTAGATACTCCTGTTGCTGGTGCCGTTCCTGCTGCCAATGCTGGTTATCATCACCAAAAAACAAATTATCTTAGAGTTTCACATGCTTGATGAATCTATCATCGCCAATTGCTTTCTTGATTGCATCAACGTGCCCGTTATATGGATTTAGTTATGAATCAACCCAGTTAAATTTGATACCAGAATGTTTGCTTTGAATGTAATAATTGACTTCATGTACAAATGAGCCTGGAGCTTAACACAGAGACAGCACTATATACGAAACGCGAAAAAAACTTTTCAAGATTCACTGGCTAGATCAAACACTGTTTAAGACATCATAATCTCAGTTCACTTCCACCATACTCGAGTTAATAGTTCATTCTGAATGTGTTCAGGAATTTCTATTAGCGCAAATGATAATAAATCAATTAGCATACATCCATGAATGGTATATTTATTCCAGGAGATTGAATCTTTAAAGATTTCTAGTTGATTGGCTTGAACTATCATGATCACTTTAAGGAGTATCGTTAAATTGACTTGCAAATCATTGAACCAAGGATTACATTGTAAGTAAAAGTGAAATTACCAAAATAAAGAACCAATGAACGAGGAAAAACATAATTTTGTTCAATTTTTCCCGCCAAACTCTCATTGATCTCGATTAAAATTTAAATCTCTAGTTCAAAAATGTCATGTTGGATGGATTGGACTAGGTTTCATGGGTACTCCTATGGCTAACCACCTTATCAACAAGGGTAACTCTCTGGTTGTTTACGACATCAATTCAGCAGCTGTAGTTGCTTCTAGCCCAGCTGAAGTTGCTGAAAAATGTGATCGAGTGTTCACAATGGTTCCTGCTGATCCTTATGTGATCGAAGTTTTCTCATGATCAAATGGATTACTCACTAAAGCTAAGAAAGGAACCATCTTGATGGACTGTTCAACTGTTCACCCAAATACATCCAAAAAGCTACTACAATTGAGCAATGATGCTGGAGTTGATTTCTTAGATACTCCTGTTGCTGGTGCTGTTCCTGCTGCCAATGCTGGTATGTTAGCAGTTCATTCTGTATCTTATCACGAATTTTGCAAGCAAAAATGAGGTTAAATCAGTCAGATTAGTATGTTTATTTCAGGAGATTAAATCTTTATCATCTAGGTCGTCATCGTTCGAGTGCAATCTAGATCGTGTCTAAACAATGAGCCACAACGAAATTCCCATGACGGCCAAGTCAAGAAATCATCGAGATTCTCCAATGTAATCATGATTACTTCCAAGTATGTTTTTAAGTCTTGTTGAGCCAAATTCTTTCAGTATTTGAATGTCAAATTTTTTTGTCAAACTTCAACCAGTCCTGAGACACTTAATGGCAGCAAAAACTGATGTAATGTTTATCCATAAGTTAACGCTTCAACGCTTCGATGAAATAATGAAATTGATGGTACTATTACTATTAAGTAATTAACAGAAATCATAATTCGTTCACAAAAAAATTGCATTCTACGTCTAACCAGCCCATAACCCACCCCAACCAATTGCTTTCTTGTTGTAATCAATTGCAGATTGAATGTGCATATGAATCAAATGATAAAACGAACTTTTATTCACCATCCGTCTTATTTGCTAAAATGACCTAATGGTAGTCATTTAGGGAAAATGGATGCTAGAAAATTATCAAACCAGTAACACAAAGATAACGATAAGGTAGTAGAAAATAAATTCTTATAGAGGTTTCAAGCAAATCGATTCACTCATTAGTCTACAATTCATAAGTTTTATAATCAACATTACATTGTATCATTGTAGTGACGTTATTTAATATTAGCAATCTTAGGAACTAATAAACATCTCGGAACGGCTCGAACATGTCTAAACAATGAACCACAACGAAGTTCCCATGTTGTTCTAATTAAGAAATCATCGAGATAACGATTTTTAAGTGCAGCAAGTAGAAATGAAATTCTTAAGCAGGTTATAACCAACTTTATTCATTAATAGGTCTACAATTAATAAGTTTTATAATCTTCATTATTATCTTAAACATTGTATCATTGTAGTGACGTTATTTCTCGTTAGGCAATATCAGGAACTATTGAACACATTATTTGAATTCATTAATTAACAATTAATAATTAATTCATCATTAAATATCTATCATGATCACTTTAAGGAGTATCGTTAAATTGACTTGAAAATCATTTAACCAAGGATTACATTGTAAGTAAAAGTGAAATTACCAAAATAAACAACAAATGAACGAGGAAAAGACATTTTTGTTCAATTCTTCAACTGTTCAACTCTCATTGAGCTCTATTATTGAGCTTATTACTCTTATTAACCTGTGAACGATGCAACAGATACTTCAGGAACTGCGTCCAACTAATGAAAATAATGTAAGTAGATCCATATTTATCATTTTTCTAAATTACCGATTCCTTTGTTGTTTCTGAAATTAATATTTTTTTTCGATGAGAGTCTTGTTATACGGACACATATAATAAACAGTGCTATAGATTCAAATAAATGATCGATTATTATCGCGCTCTAGGTTAGGTTAGGTTAGATTATCTCAGCCATATTTCACAGCTTCGAATAGACAACATTCACTGTCTATTCTTCCTATTTATTACTTAAGTCAAGAAATCATCGAGATTCTCCAATGTAATCATGATTACTTCCAAGTATGTTTTTGAGTCTTGTTGAGCTAAATTCTTTCGATATTTGAATGTCAAATTTTTTTTTCAAACTTCAACCAGTCCTGAGACACTTAATGGCAGCAAAAACTGATGTAATGTTGATCGGAAAGTTAACGCTTCACGCACTTCAGATGAAATAATAAAATTGATTGCACTATTACAATTTACCAAATTAACAGAAATCATTATTCATTCACAAATAATTTGCATTCTACGTCTAACCAGCCCATAACCAATTGCTTTCGTGTTGTAATCAATTGCAGATTGAATGTGGATATAAATCCAATGATTTTGTTGAAAGTTCATCTCAAATTGCTAATGCTAGAAAAACATGATTATTTGAAGAGCTTTGTAAATTGTGAACATTGAACTTGAGTGAGAGTTAAAGTTAGCAATAGTCGATCATAAACGAGGTAAGATTTCGGGCAATTGGTTGAGTAAAAAATTTGAAGATTAAAAACTTATATATCAAATTATCTATATTTTATCTTTGATTCCATCTGTCAGCTCTTTCTTGTGAATGCTTAATGCTTATTCAAATTGCTAATGCTAGAAAAACATGATTATTTGAAGAGCTTTGTAAATTGTGAACATTGAACCGTTGTAATCATGATTACTTCCAAGTATGTTTTTGAGTCTTGTTGACCATCCGTCTTATTAACTGAAATGACCTAATGTTAGTCATTTAGGGAAAATGAATGCTAGAAAATTATCAAACCAGTAACACAAGAATACGATTAGGTGGTAGAAATTAAATTCTTATAGAGGTTTTAACCAGCTCGATACCTTCAGTAGTCTACAATTCATAAGTTTTATAATCAACATTACATTTTATCATTGTAGTGACGTTATTTTTCGTTCAGCAATATCAGGAACTTTTAAACACATTAATTGAATTCATTGATTAATAATTAATAATTAATTAACCTTCATGATCACTTTAAGGAGTATTGTTAAATTGACTTGAAAATCATTGAACCAAGAAATTACATTGTAAGTAAAAGTGAAATTACCAAAATAAACAACCAATGAACGAGAGAAAAGACATTTTGACAATGAAACTACTGCCAGACTTGAGACGATTAATGGCTACTAAAAACTGATGTAATAGCAAAGGGAAAGACAACTCTTCTTGTGCATCGATACAATTGATTCCACCATCCCCAGTAACCAAATCAAAAGTTTCATTCCCAAATTTATCAACAAAACTTTGCAAAAATTCTACATCCTACAATTAACCTCAATGTTAAAACCAAAATCAGTTATCAAGTTTTACATGCTTGATTAATCTATCAGCGCCAATTGCAGTTTTGATTGAATTAACTTGCTCGCAATAGAGATTTAGAGTTGAAGCAACCCAGTTAAATTTGAGACCAGAATGTTAGCTTTGAATGTAATAATTGACTGCATGTACAAATGAGCCACACAGAAACAGCGCATTCACTTAA